TACCAATCTGATTTAATTCACACAAATTGATTACCTATATTTTACCGGGGGTAAATATTTTGATGGCCACCATCGCACTAGTGATCGTAACTTTACTGACTAGACCGAGAATAACAGTTAGTCTAACTTTCAGACTAGAACTGGAGATATTCTATCTATCAGACTGAAACTGATCTCAGGAAGGCAGCTGGCAGTTACAGTTATTCAGTCAAACTAGCTGATTCAGATTTCAGTGTTTTACACATAACATCACGCCTTTCATCCTCGTAGAGGTAGGCAGAGGTGCACATTACAGGACTTATTATACATATGTACAATGTAACACCCACTTTTCACTATTCATGTAATAGGGGGTGAGCCTATTGCCATATACCGGGCACGTTTCTAGACTATGTACTACTAAGATTTTGTTTAAAAACCTATGTAATAATACTTTGCCCGACCCGGTAATAGAACCCGAGACACCTTGACGGGCAGTCGCACTTGCGACCACTCAGTCAACGAAGCAGTCATATCTTATTAAAAAACTTTTCATTTAAATTGACACACGTGAAATTATGACCAGCCATTTGATAGCAGCACCTCCATAAAAAGTTATCAAATATTATCAGGAAATAGTGAACGAGTAATGTGGCGAACGTGAAAGTATCAAATGATAATAAAGTATGTCATCCGCAGCGAGCGCACATCTCAACATAATATGACACTTTACACTTTACGACAAGCATTAGCCGCTGTAACAAAACTTAATGGGTTGATTTTACAGCTGTAATCGTCGTATTCTTGCTGAGATTTTGATGAAAAGATGAAAATTTTACAGGTCATCAATAACATTGTCTCAATATAGACTAGGTTTTTTTAACGGGTGAAAATCATCGAAACACTGCTTCCACCTGGGTGAGGCGGGAGGGAGTGTCAGACTCTTACTGACTAAAAACCGCCCCGTTCCTTCTCCTGCGCTTCAACCCGAAGCCCCGGTAACCCGTTAGGTTCTCCGCGACAATATAGACTAGGTTAGATAACCTCGTAGATACTCTACTTACTGTCTACACATGTATGTCGTGGTGGTCCAGAGGTTTAAGATGCCCGCTTCTCGTGCATGAGAATGCGAGTTCAAAACCTACCAACGGCAAGTACCAATGTGACTTTTTCTGAGTTATACCTATGTACCTACTTTTAAAAAATATTTAGATACCACTGACAAATGGTGAAGGAAAACATCGTGAGGAAACCTGAGCTTATACTTTCTAACTATAAGTTTGAAATCGTTAACCCGCATTGAGCAAGCGTGGTGATTCATGCTCAAACCTTCTACGTGTAAGAAGAGGCTTTGCTCAAGCATTTACAGGCTGTTGATGTATGTATGTATTCCTACACATGTACCAAATAATCAATTCACATTACGTAATAAACACTCACTATCCAAAAACGTGATACACTCAACACACGAAATCCATTCCAACCCTATTGGCTTACGAAAACAATTATTAAATAAGCCCCTATAAACACAAATTCCCTACAAATTGCTTGTGTAGTGAATTTGCTTTCATTAAAATCGTAGGAGTAGCTTAATGACTTGCCCATACTATGAATATTCAAGCAAGCTCATATTGCCAGATGAAGCTTCAAAGGGTTTATCTGAGCGATAAATGCTTTAATTCCTTGAGGCATATAGTTATTAACAAGCCCCCGGTGCATTGGATTTATGGTCTACGTTTAAACACTAGGTAACTACGTTAGATTAATGAGATTACTATAGGTGCAGTTTCGCAATATCCAAAGATTTTCATTGAGAGAAAATTTCTAGTAGAAGACATTCTTTTCACATTAATGCAAGATTTCTTGTTTATTATGTTTTCGGCTTATTCACGTACCTATATATTTTACGAGGAACTCGGACTATTTTCAAGCCTAGAAGCTCATATTCATGAGCAGCATTCCGCGACTGTCGCTACATGTGTCTAGCATGGCTTGAAATTAGTCGAGTACCTCGTCAAATAATTACGCGAGTAAGTCGAAAACATAATAATTAATTTAGTATGTCTCACGAAAGTTATGATTTCTTTTCTTATCCAAATAAACCGCAATTCATTAAAATCTCCTGAAAGTTCAAACTTTATACTTTAACTTTTGTTCGCTCATAAAATTAACATCAAAATAAACGAGCCACGGTGATAAATGACAAAAGAAAAAAAATATAAAACCTAACTACTTTTTGTGAACCCCAATAAAATAGTTGAAACCACAAATTACTAAGGGAAACAGGACAAAGTTGGATTTGTACAAAGAAAAGGTCGGATGAAGCAACAAAGTGCGTAAACAAGGGGTCTCATCGGTTTTATTTGAAAAGTTTCGATGATCGCGGTTTACTACCGCTCCACTTCCACGAACAACGTCTTCATTAGATAAAATCAGCCTAGAAAATTTACATTATCTTTGATAACGGAATTTCGCGTGTTGACGTAACGAAATGTGGGACAAAAGTTACCAGAAGTCAGTAGACTTTGATTGAAATAAGATCCAAATGAGTTATTTAGTATCTCCAAAACTTTCCTAATGCCATAATTCATTAGGCATCAGAAGTTGCTACAAAAAGGTTGGCAAACTTCCTACGTTCTAAATCATAATAGTGTGTAATAAATAATCCTTCGTTTGGCTGAAGATGTAGAAACTATTGTTGTCATATTTCGCGATCTTGACAGCAAATAAACTGCTGCTACTCATTTCAATAGCGATTTTCGATGACGAAGCGTCTTGGGTTTGCGTAGTCGCAAACGCCTCATGATCTGCGCTATCAATGGCGTCAGATAAGATTGTTCCGTCTTTATTGGGATGTAATTAATCTTTGTCATTGTTACCTTCCTCTGCAGATCTGCTTTTCATAGATAACCTCTCTCTCTTTGTTACACCCCATTACGGATCCTGAGTGCCTCTATACTTTAATACATTGTAGTTGCGTATCTGGTTGTAGATCACGGATTATGGGTTTAATCACTTCTAGAAACTTCTTTTAAGTCTGACTCAAGCAAGTTGAGCTATTTCTACAGTTTTTCACTACATGTCGCTATATGTAGGTATAGTTTCGATCAGATTGATAACTGCGACCAAAATCAATTTATTACAAGGGTTATTGTACAACTACTTTCTTATTTGATGAAATTATTTATCTAATAATTGTAAGGGAATGATATTGTTTTTATAAAATCTTCGTACTCTATCTTTCAAAAACCATTTAGTAAAATCCTTTTAACGAAATTTATTTAAATCTCGACCATTATTTGATTAGTAACAATTCTACAAAGAAATGGTATTACAAAACCATTTCATCGTACCTACGAAAATAGATTAAACATATTTCCGTGAAATGCGATTATCCTAAAATGCCTAAAACGGGATATATTAAACATTCCAAAAATCTTTCTGTGCTCAAACAAACGAACGTTTACAAATCGGATTACGTCGACAAAGACTCATAGGTAATGTAAAATGAAGGAGGAGAACAATGTACGGTTATCGGAAGCACGGCTCACTCGTATATCTCTTTTGTAGGTGAGATTAAAGAGGCGATGGCGTGGGCCGATACCATCCATCTCCGTTAATGCTGTATCGACGGCTCCATCCAGCGTGGCTGTGAGCAGCCTCGTGATGCACGGCCGCATCAAGTGCGATGATATTTATTGGGAACTAGCTGTTGGCCACTGCGCCGCCTGCCTGAGTTGTGGTAGTGCATCGATGCTTTATGTTCTAAACGCTCTCCCAATAAACATGCCGTTTATTGGAGAAGGCCTACAGCCGTTAAGCCGTTTCACAATACCATTGGTGCAGTACTACCTACAATGCTTTATTTTACATACGTTACCTAATTCGTTTCCGTATGATTTATTTATTTGAATCTCATGTGAACTTTTATTCGTCAATTGTTACTTTCCGTGAGAACCTATGATAAATACGCTGGTTACTATTGATTGATCTCCTAGTTTAAAGTATTTGGCACAAGAAGAGCTCGAGTATAAGTCAACTAGTATGCATGGCTCGCTCCAGACACATTTAAATAGCCATTTTGCAAATGCACATTTTAACGACATTCGACATTTGCCAAGTGGAGAAGTTTTTTTCATGAATATTAGAAGTTACAAGCCACGGAGCACTTTGCAAACAGTACGTGACTTTTTCAGTACAGTGTAATGCATACCTTTATATTCTAAAAATGTAATAAAAGGTGAGACCTTTGCTATGAATATGATCTTAATAATCTTGACGGTTAAACCATTACTTGCCATAACCTTCTGCAGTTTACCACCTGTCAAGTACATCTTTGCATTATCCAAAGGATAACTTGTAAAGAGAAAGCTGATAAGCATTATGTCCTCCATACACAATTGTATAAAACAACAAATAAACAATTGTGACCATCAAAATATTTTTGAACGCAAAAATAAATAAAAATAAAAGTAATTTTTATGTTTTGGTTTTATTAATTTGTACTAATACACTCCATTCATAATCACGTACACTTAAATAATCAGATATTGCACAGCAGTCAGTCGTTTGGTTCAGCACCAGGGTTCTTCTACAAGGTATACTTTCCTAGAACAAAAAATAATATAATTAGTAAGACATTAGATAAATAAAATGTAAAATGAAATAACTAACTTATGAAAACCAATGAAACAGGTGACAGAACCGGTACAATTTGTTAAAAAAAACCATACATTTGGACATTGATTTCCAAAACCATACTTTACTAAGTATGGTTTAAAAGTTAAACATGAGCGTGACGATTTAAAAATGAAGCTATACTAGTATAATGTTAGCTGCAAATGTGCAATACTACCAACTGTTATGTGCTACAAAAGACTACAAATTGAAAGTATGAGCATGTTGCATAGAAACCACAATATTGTACCAAAGCGTGGACCCTCAATGCTACATGTTAGTTAATCAACAGATCCACCTAGAAAACACCATCAGTGTGCAAATAATTTATAGAAAGAGTAACCTGTCGGCTGCAGAACATCCTTTTTATTTCAGTCTGCTCGAACTGTATGTATGTGTATTTATTTATGTTAAGATTTCATAAATAGGTATTTGAAAGTGACTTATAGACTTTAACATAAGGGCTATTTTACAATGATTGACTCGAATAAATTAAACAGTTCAATGTCATGTATTTATGAAGGTGATATATTGGAGTATATTAGTATTAGTTAACCACAATTGTGGGTGAAGTAGTTAGGTGTTTGTGGTCGTTGTGAAATTGAATAATCATTAAATGATACTATGTTATATTGTTTTAGAGTTAATGGTAAAAGCCATAGCGCCTGAAATAGAGCATATATTAAAATTAGATATTGAATAAACACTCCACGGAAATTATTAACAAAATGTTATGATATTACGAATGTTATTAAATAATAATTTATTGGAAGAGCCTGTTACAGCATCGAATGCCAAAAACTCAGTGATGCGTTGCAAATTTCATGAATTTACAAAACTATATTTACTGAAAACCATTCATTGGAATTAAATAACTAAACTATATGTAACAGACTCTTATTGATAAACCAGCAACCAACTAATTCAATACATTTAACACAAAGGGGAAGATAATATTAGATATCTCTATAGACAAACCTGTAGACACGTCCGTGACCACCGTAGCCGTAGCCGCCTCCGTAGCCGCCGCCGTAACCGCCGTAGTGTCCGCCGTAGCCGCCGCCGTAGCCACCACCGTAGTAACCTCCGTAGCCACCGCCGTATCCACCACCGTAGCTCCTGCCGTGGGACAGCAGACCACCGGCTAGGGCACCACCAACGAAACCAGCCTTAGCTCCAACCAGACCGGCACCAACCAGACCAGCAGCGCCAAGACCCAGAGCACCAGCGCCGAGCAGACCAGCACCTGAGAAACGAACATTCAGTTTAGAGAAATAATTCAATATATTAAGGAATGCACATAATTATACAATTAAGGACCAGTTTTTTGTAGTAGTATAAGAAGAATTGAAGTGTCATTCATTCAGTAGTTTTCCTTAATGGACGTCTACATATCTACACACAAACACAAGTATAATTCTATACCAATAAACTACTTTTCAACTTAGGTATAGATTTTAAGGCATAAAGCCACAAAAAAGTAGCAAAATATTATTATATTCATGCATTTAATATATGCAAATACACAATGTAGAGTATCAAGGTAAGATGGAGACAAGAAAGAATTTAAAATTGTAATCAACTTGAATAACTAGTTTGGAGATTCTCTGACTGACAACACATTCTAACATAATCTTACATTTACGAAGAAAAATAAAATGTCACCGAAAAGGTGCGTCATTTGTTTCGTAATGTTATTACAGTTCGGGTAACATAATAAATACTGACAATGACATAAAAACAATCTAGAGCACGAAAGTTTGTGAAGTACTCAAAAAATAAATAAAATGTTGAGGGAATATAACATAGCCACGCAACGTTACACGTAAAGCAGAATTTAGGTGAAAAATACGAGATTATCTTATTATATAGACAACCGTGCCTAATTGTTCATAAAAATAAATTGTCGTACAGATTTGCATTTACGAGTCCGTCCCGGCGAGCTCGGACCCGCGTCCGCGTCCACGTCCATCCCCACACTCCCACAGGTCCACGCCATACACATTTTTATGACAGCTCTAATTCCTTTACTTACTCTGCTTTTATTATTTATAGCCCGAGGAATTTACATTTTTACGGTTTTTGTATATCCTGTTGCTGAGCATTATAATAATATAAATTAAACAGTGATGGTATAAGTTCAAGGCCTTATTGTTAACAAAACTTGGTTGTTAACTCGGGCCCTTGTTTGTTTAAAATATTAGTATATTACGGCATTGTGGAAAGCTGATCGAGTGATCCGTCTAGTCTATTACCGTTTATTGCGTCATCAATCTCTAGGGCTAGAAAGTGAGGTCTTTAGGGATCGACATGACGTATTTGTTACGTACTATCCATTTCTCATCAACGTTAGAAATATGCGCAACATGTTACAATGTTCCGCGGGGTATTCCATAACATGACTGATTATTGACTGATCAAACAAACTACACCTATTCACACGTATTTAAATGGAAGAATTGTTTTCACACAAATCAGCTAAACATGATTTCCCTGAGAGCAATGATTCGACAGAATGAATGACCATGACAATGTAAATTAGTCACTGTTACATTGACACTAAATTCTAAATTGATTTGTAATATGTTGCAGGATATAAAAGGTACCAAAATTATAAAAAGAAAGAAAAAGATAAAATTTGTTGCTATCTACATCTTTACATAATAAAAAATAAACCTGTCCTAATGTAAAATTAATTCAAATAAGAAATAATTAATTAAAATAATTTATTATTTAAAAGCAAAGTCCTTAGAAGGTCGTCGACCGGTCAAGAGAACCTTAATAACAAAGTTTTAATATCCCTAATGCATTTCGCATTGGCAATGTTTTATTCATGGATTTGTTCGTTGATATAAAAACAGTACTTTAATACTCATAATTCAATATTAATATTTATGGAATCATAACGAAAAAGTGATATGAAAAATAGCGAACTGTAGTCCTAACTGTGTATCTAATCGGTTTCTGGACCCTTTACTTCGTATTACTGTAAAATTGGAGTGTCTGTTTGTAATATTCAAGCAACCGCTTTTTACTATATGCATATGAATATACATACGATATATATACCAAAATACCACTTTTTATAATTTTTATCTGTCTGTTTGTTAATTATATGGTTAATTATCTCTGAAATGGTTAGACTGATTTTGACGGGACTTTTATTGGCAGGCATATAATAACTAAGGAGTAACATAGTCTACATTTATTTTAGAAAAATGCAGACAAAGTTGCGCATTCAACTAGTGGTACATAAATATATACTTTCCCACTATGTTACCATATAAACGAGTAATCTTTTACGATTGTACGTGTGTATAAAAGTTTGGTCATAACGCAGAGGTAATGCGTATACAGTGACAGAGGATGCGTGGCGTACTGTATATGAGTACGACACTAGGTGATTACTGCGACACACGACAGCTCGCCATGGTGCGAGTGAAAAGAACAATACACGTACTCGCCCGACAAGGAAAAATACTTCCATCATTTGAACTATGACATAGAAATACATGTAAATCTACTAGTACTTTATTATTTGTCATTTCTTTGTACGTAATATAAACATCTCGATGCAACCAATAAAATAAATTTAACCAACACATAATTATTCTTCGGAACAATCATTATTATCTTAATATGATTGTAACATGACTTGCAACTGTAAAAGACAATAAAATAATTTCGGACTCTGCAACAAATTCAAATGCAAAGTGATATGAACTTTATCTCGTTGTACTTGAGTATGTAAAACTGTAATCACACCTCGACCGGCGAGGATTTCAACCCTGTTCTCATCGCTGCAATATTTCACACGGAGTGTAGGGGTGTTACAAATCTTTCCACGACTTTAAGAGCCCACGAGGTGAGATAAGTGTGAGATGTACAAACTATGAACGAGCCGGGTCGGTACTTTGTCATGGTTAATCCACTATTTTATACATAAACGAACCGTTTAGAACCCAAGTTTTTATCAAAAGGGCTATTTCTTTGTAAAATGTTTCATATTTTAACATTTTAGTAGATTTTATGTCTGTCGCATAGCCTCAAAATAGATTTTAGATGTAGGTATTCTAAAAGCACATCTTGTTTTGCTTAAAAAAAGGCATTGAAAAGAATGAATCGAACGATTTGAATAAAAATGAGAATAAATTGACATTTAAGCTGACACATTTCTTAAGAATAACATATTTTTATAAACATAATCTCTTTCGTAATCTACCATAATCGGTGTAACAAACTAACATGACAAGTAGTTGTATATCTTTGTTGTTTTTGAATCAGATTGATTGGCAATATTTTTAAATAGTCTAGTTCTACCCCAGAAGTCCTTACCGTCAAATTTATAGAAACTCTTTAGTACTAATGAATAAGTCCAAATAAAATATACCGATTCTGTACAATATACCAATTCTTCAGTTATCTGTACAGTATAATTCTATAGATTATTGAACTATTCA